ATGCGTGAAAAGAGTCAGCACAAGCAGTGCCAGCGATGCTTTGACCTGCAGATGATGCTGCGTAGCCCCAAAGTGTCATGGAGTCGAAAGCTGGAGGTTGCAAAATTGTTGCGGCAGCATCAAAAGGATCAGTACCAAGATCGTTTGCTGTATTGGTCTCTGAGATGGGCTTCGACTGTCCAAGCACAGTCTTGCAGTCCTCAGTCCAAGCAGCAGTCCAAGCAGCCCTTGCAGTCAGGAACAGTTCTCACTGTTATGATCGATGACATGGATCACAGCAAGTTTGCATGGCCACGGTGGGAGTTTCGCAAACAGCCACATGAGATGGATGGATTGATACGACCAACAGTCACATTCACAGGTGCATATGCACATGGATGGGGCACCTTCCTGTATATGGCCGGGCCACAAGTTGTTGGGGGATCGGACTATTTTTTGGAGGTCCTGTGTCAGACTTTGGAGCAGGTATGGCAGTCTTGCAGTCCTCAGTCTTGGCCATCTCATTTGGTGCTAGTTGCTGACAACACCACAAAGTCGGCAAAGAACCAGTATGTGCTGCGATTTCTGTCTTACCTGGTGGGCCGCAAAATTTTCAAATCAGTGACTCTGTTTCAGCTCATGGTTGGCCACACCCATGAAGACTTGGATCAGCTCTTTGCAGTTGTGTATTCATACCTGAAGAAGAAGGCAAGCTGGCAAACTCCGGATGAGATTTTGCAACATATCAAGTCCTGCTACTTGCTGCCAAATAGGACTGCTGTTAGGTACAGCATGTGTGCCAGTGTGCAGGATTGTCCCGAACAGATAGAACCTGATGCAACTGAGGCTTGGAGACCAGTTCTCATGCTCAACGACCAGGACAAATTTCTGCCAGACATGTGACAGCAGTTCGAGATTTCGATTCTTGGCTCCAGCCCATGGGGGTAACTTTGTACAATGCATTGAGGCAAAGAAGTCACAAGCATCCACTTGCACGAGCAGGAAACCTTCCAGAAATTCCTCACTGTTTCACGATGATCACTGGTGATACGATGTGTTTGAAGCACAGGGAGATGATGGAAGAGGGCTTGGATGGGACAGCAGTCTATGTGTGCGTCAAAATGTACTCCCGTGACCTGAACCTGAGCCAGCCCCCGGTCAAGGTTGCGAGCATGGCCCAGATTGCATCAGTATTCCCCGAAATCCCACGTGGTGTTCATGCTGCAGTTGAGCTGTCTGGCGTCCAGATTGACACTTTCACAAAATTGTCAGACCTGGCAGACAAGTATGGCATGACAGAAGCTGCCAAGGCTTTGAGAGGGATTGTTTTTGTGAGGCGCTATGATGTGCATAGTTTGGAGTTTATGAGACAAGCACCAAGAGTTTTCAGTCCAGAGCCAGAAGGCTTTGCACAATTGCCATATTTGCCTAACTCATGCTGGAAACTGATGGCCAAGTTTCACCGCTGAGCAGTCTTGCAGTTGCAAAGCTGAAGATTGGGCGTGACTTTGCTGGTGAGGATTAAAGTATGGCTGCCAAGTTGGAGCAGGTAGTTAGCAGTTATCAGACTCAGTCAGTTGTTGGGAGTCAGTATCGACTGTCACACACTCTGAATTCATGGCTCGAGTTTTGAGGCAGTCCTGCAGTCCGGCAGTCCGCTTCAACAGTGTCCCCAAGATGCAGAGTGGCTCCGGAGTTGCACGGACATGTCGGCTGGAGATCTTCGGATTGACAGTCATTGGGATCCTCCAGTCTGAACTGTTTTGCCAGGGACCTCGTGATCTTCATGTTTTGGAAGTCTTCAGTCTTTCCAAGACACTGGTCAATGCGGCAGAAACACGTGGGCTGAGTGCAGAGAGTTTCGACTACATGAATCCAGGGCAAGGGGACGTCTTGTCAGAGACTGGTTTTCATCAAGCAATTCGGATGGTCATGCGGTTGAAGGAAGCTGGTCTGATGTGTATTGCACCCGATTGTTCCAGCTTTTCTTGGGCATGCTCAAGTAAGACCAAGCGCACCAAGAAAAACTTTGCAGGAGACACTGGCAATCCCACTGTCAGGCATGGGAACTTCATGGCTGAGGTGTCGTTCTTCCTGTTTGTCTTGGCAGCAGCACGAGGTGTATATGTTTGTTTGGAGAACCCAGTGGGCTCGACACTGTTCTCATACCTGAAGGCACACATCTTAGCGCTGGATGCAGTCCTCAGTCCTCTGTTCTTCCTTGTTGACCGCTGTGCCTTTGTGACCGAGAGACCTACATATGGCAAAAGGTACAAGTTCCTGTGCTTGCACCCCAGTCATGCAGTCTTCAGTCCTTGCTGGTTCAAAAAAGCTGTGCACAGTCCATGCACCTGCAAAGAGAAGCACCTGCCATTGATGGATGTGAAAAAGGAGAAGGGTGGAGCAACCAAGAAGACTGGAAATGCAGACCTGAAGGCAAGCGGTCTTTACCCTGCATCACTGGGTGAATCAATTGTACTTGCTTGGTTGATTCGTTTTGCTCCGGATGCAAAACCCAGTCTGCTGGAGAGAAAGCATCCTTTGCCAAGCAGTACATCTGGTGTCAGTTCTGCAGTCCTCAGTCCTGCAGTCCTCAGTCCTGCTGCTGATGTTCCTCGGCGGTGGGAAGATTTGACACCTGATCAGATCGGAGCCCTTTTCAATGAAGAAGAACCCGAAGATGATCCCTGGGGAGAGGCTGGAGAGTCTGGAACTTCTGCTCCTTCGAAGAAGCCGGCAGCCCGGACTGCGATGAAAGCCAAGCCCAAAGCCAAGTCCAAATCCAAAGCAAAAGTGCGGAAGTGTGCCATGAAAGCCATGAAGAAGCCCAGTGCAAGATCTTCCTGTGTAGCAGAGTCTTTGCCCGGTGGACTTTCAGAGGATGATCCATGGGCAGGCTGCTGATTTTGTGTTCGGCATCATAGTATTTGTTTGTGCGTGGAAAAGGACTGGACCCTGGAGTGAGCAATGCACTGTTGCCTGTGTCTGTGTGCTGTGCCTGCATGCAAAGTGCCTTGAACTTGTCTGCCTCATTGATATGAATTATGATGATTGCATTCTGGCTGAGATTCAGTTAAGGTCAAGCTGTGGTCCAGTCTTGCAGTCCTTTGTCTGAGCTGTCTCACCACAATGTTCGGAGGATTCATGGCTGCTTCTATCCCGATGCTAGAAGACGATGCTGAAGGTGATGCGATTGACTGGCCCGAGGATGGACAGGGAGACATTCAGATGGAAGAGAATGTCACCCCAGCTGCGCTACCGCACAAGGTGGCTGATCCACTGACTGGTGAGAAGGTGTCGCCTGTGAAGCCCCGGGTCTTGTTCGGCACAATCACAAGTAGAGAGAAGCTCGCAGCAGACAAGGCAGGTCTAGTTCCCAGTGCTTCTGTGGAGGATGTTACTGCAGGCACAGCAGATGGAGGCAGTCCGATCCAGTTGGTGCAGACAAAAGCACAGAAGAAAGCAGATGCCAAGGCCAAGGCCCAAGCCAAGACCCAAGCCAAGACTGACCCTCTCACCCCTGCCCCAGAGTCCGCAGTCCAGCAGCAGCCACTTCCCAAGAAAAAGGGCTGGCCCAAAGGCAAGGCAAAGGCAAAGTCGGGTGTCATGAAGAAGCCTGCCAGTCTCAAACGGCCTGCTGCTTCGGTTTCCAAAGCAAGCAAGGACGGAACTTTTATTGCACTTAATAGTCTCCCCAGCCTATGAGTGTTGTTGGTTCACTGTTTGCAGGACATCGACCAGGAGATGCATGAGAAGGAGGCAGACACTGCAGCCCTCGAGCCCATGAAGGACCAGGACGATGACAAGAAGGATGGCAACCAGGATGACAAGCAGGACCCCATGGAGAGCCAGAAGGGTGAGGAGGATGACAAGCAGGACCCCATGGAGAGCCAGAAGGGTGAGGAGGATGACAAGCAGGACCCCAAGGATTCCCAGGGCAGTCCGGCCAAGCCAGCAGTCCTCAGTCCTCAGTCCGAGATCAGCCCGACCAAGTCAGACCGAGATGCACTGGAGATTGTGCTCCACAAGAATGTGAACGTGGAGTGGCCAGACAAGGCGACTTTTGCTGGTCGACACAGGAACAGGAACCAGGATGCAGCCAAGCTGTGGGATTTGCGCAGAGAGATGTTCTACAGGTACGTTCCCCAGTGCCATTGGAGTGAGAAGAATGAGCGCCTGTTCTACAGTATTGCAGATGCGGACATGACCACAGTCCAGATCATCCAAGCCTTCAAGAAGCAGGTTGAGGGCTGAATGTGTTTTGCAGTCCTCAGTCCTCAGTCCTAAGTGGCTGTTGGAACATCTGGGGAAGAGTTTTGATTCTGGGGCATTTCGTGTCGACAACCTTGTTGCATTCCTCAGTCCTCAGTCTGATGTGGCTGGGTGGAACATCCAGATGCTACTGTCACAATTTTAAGGGGGTTCGGAAGAAGCACTGGCCTGAATCCTTGCATTATGTGGCTAGATACTGTCCTTGATCTGAATGATGAGGAATTGTAGCAGTGACTGCTCTCTGCTTTTTGAACACATTGGTCTTGTGTAGCCAAGTTCAGGAATCAGCTGTCAGTGATCTTCAGAGAGTGTGCACAGTGCATGCCAGAGGACCGATCTATTGTGAAGATGAGGCTGTAATGGAGTCTTTGCATACTGTGTGGTTTCAACTGTCCCTTGCACTTGAAGAATTTCAAATAGTTAAAGAATGTCGACTCCACTCAGCAGTTGAACCGGACTGGTGTAATATCAGTTTCAGCCGAGGCCTCAACTGGCTCCGGGGATTGAGGTGGACACAGAAGTAATCCAGATGCCCGTGCCCATGTTGTGGAAGCAAGGATCGATAGTCAGTGAAGCCCGACAAAAAATGCGTTTGTGAGTGTTATGTATGAAGTCACTGCAGTGACTGTGTTATGCTTCCTTGTCGATGCAAGCTCCTCTCTCATGTTGTGTGTGTGTGTGGCTCTTGGCTAATGAAGATTTTGGAGGACAAGCACCTGCAGTCCTGCAGTCCTGCTGTCTTTTTAGCCATGGACCCCGAACCTGTTGCGAATCAGCAACAACTTTACACCTTGTATGGTGAGGCTATGGCTGTCCTCAAAGCAGAGCTGGATGTGAAGAGTGCAGATGGTCAGCCACAATTCACAGATGTTTGTGAATGGTTGGGTCAGAAGCTAGGCTCCGATGGGGAGAGGTCGGCTCACCAGGCAAATCTGGAGCAGCTCTTGGCTAGCTGTGAAGCAGTGGCTGGAGCTGGGGTGACCTCCTTCCAGTCCTCAGTCCCCAGTCCTGCAGACCTCCAGGAGGCCAGTAGCAAGATGTTGAAGCGGTTCCCTTTGCGACTGTGGCAGCTTGGCGGTCATGAAGCCTCGCATGTCAAGGGGGCCCCACAACTCCATGGAGTGCGGGACTGCATACAGAAGTTCATGACAGGGATGGGGTGTGAGACACACAAGTTCCCGCTGGAGATTCTGTTTGATTGGCCAACTGCGTGGAAATCGTCTAGCCCTGCACCGGGGTCATTGATCCAGGCCTTCAGTGTTGCAGTCAGCATTGGGACGACTGTTACCATGGCATGCCATCTTCTCGCCTATGCTGCGATGAAGCTTGATTGGTTGAACAGTCCAACAGTCCTGGACCATGTCAAGAAGGATGTGGCGGGCCGATTGATGAGCTGTCTCTGCAACTGGGACATGATGGACACATGTGAGAAAACATTTAATTTCCAGTTTGAGTTCCTGTTTCAACCTGCTTGAATGAGATGTGGACTGCAGGTATCTTCGGCACCTGCAGTCCTCAGTCCTCAGTCGAGCAGCAGTCCATGGAGAGTTTGCGCATTAAGACGGATGCAAGTGCAAGAAGCAGGCCCTCGATCATTAACATGCACTTCCTGTCTGGGTCTAAGTCACCAGATATATGCAGAAGTGTGAATGACTGCTCTTGTGGTAAGTGTGTGTGTGTGTGTGTGTGTGTGTGTTGCTCTTTGTGACAATGCTGTTGTTCCTTGTGGACCTTAAGGTTCGACAAGATTGTGGCAGCGAAGGTGGCAGCAGGATCCCGCAAACTTCGGAAGGACATGATGACAGAGGCGATCAACCGACACAACAAGAGCACTGTTTCGAAGTCCCGCATAAACCCCGATGAGATTGCTGCCATTCAAGTTTATGATTTGGCACCAGCACATGTTCGTCGGATGCTCAAGTTGGTGTGGGGTACAGAAGCGCCGCATCACACTGCTGTTCCCTTGTCGTGCATTGCACAGCCGTTTCCTGGTCCATGTGGAATTTATATTTGTTTGTTTGGTGTGTGCACTTGAGTCTCTGAGTTTAAGTGTTAAAAGTCCCAGAAACCAATCCAAACAACAGCCCAGGTTCTTTAACCCGACCAAGCAGCTGAGTGGCAACCTGAAGGTCTCGCCTACCGGTAACCCAGTTCCTGGATAAGCATTCAAGTATTGTCCTGTTTCAGGGCTGGAGTCATTTGCAGTGTTGAGATATCCATTTTGATTTTGGTTTCAGTCCCATTCTAACCTTTGTATTTCGGAGCCACTACTACTAGAACGACTACAACCGACTTCCACTACCATTACTAGTACTACTACTATTACTACTACTACTACTACTACTACTACTACTACTACTACTACTACTACTACTACTACTACTACTAACACATTTAGCTATGAACTCAGAGCAAGGTCTGGCATGAGATTGTGAAGTTCTCTTGGGAAAAGATCGAGGAGATGTTGCAGAGACTGCAGGCTAAGTGGAATGGCAAGATCCAGGAGTATGTCGACAGGCAGCAGCCACCCCCAATTCATCAGTCATCCATCTGTGCAGGGTTCCGTGATTCTGGCAGAGAGTCCCAAGTCTACCTGATGGCCTGTGTCATGGTGCACTTTAAGGACCAGATGATGAAGGATATGAGTCCGGACGAGTACCACAAGATGATGTCCCATTGGCGACTGGGACACTTGGACCAGAAGCTCTTCCCGGAAGTGGCAGCCATGAGGCCAGACTTCAGCTTGACCGATTTGGGGCTCCGGATGCAGCAAGAAGAGGCCAGCAACAGTCTTGCAGTCTTGCAGTCCTCTGACCTGGTGGAGGATGAAGCTGCTCAGGAGGCAGTGCGCTGTCTGACAAACCTTGCAAGGTCCCTCAAGAGAGAGCAGGATGAGATGCGAGGCCATCGTGTGGCTTTCCAACGACACATGGTGCAGACAGTGGCAGCCGAAGCCGAGTACCAGAAGTCCATTGCAGAGGGGGTGGAAAGTGCATGGGGTGAGCACTCGATCTACTATCAGGTGAATGCCAGCAAGACATTGGGAGTGGGGCAGGCTTTCGAACATGCGACACACAGGACACTTGCCAGTCGTTTGATGCAGGATGTCAAGCAGATTCCAGTCATCACTGTGATCAACATTCCCATGTTGGGTGCTGCTGCATCATCATGTGTGACGGCTATGGTGGGTCACATGGCTTCGGAGCTCCAGCAGTCCTGCAGTCTTGCAGTCTACCTGATCATTCCACCCAACCAGGTTGCGTTCGGACTGGGAAAGCTTACCAAAGCTGAGCGCGAGGACAAGGTGGCTGCCCACCAAGCAGTCTGGAAGTCCGAGATTGAAAGTGTTGCTGAGATCAAGCTGATGAAGGCCACTGCACTGTTTGATCACGAGTCGATGTACAGTGATGAGCGAACACTTGGAGTTGAGCTATGGGTTGTCGTTTCAGCAGCTGCAGACACGAATGTGTTTCAGTCCTCAGTCTTGCTGAAAAGGAAAGCCATTCCAGGACTGGTGAGCTGTTTCCCGAGACAGTCCATGAAAAACTTCGCGAAGGACATGTCGTTTGTGACGGGTGGCAAAACAAACGGTGATCAAGACCTTGAGCGTGCCAGGGCAGAATTTCTACTGTGGGGTTGGTACAGTGTGTCAGTCTTAATAATAATTGATCAAGTTTCACATGATTGTGTCAATGTTTTTTTGGCATTGAGGCAAGCAGTGGTACTCTGGGGCAGGCTTTCTGGCAGAGGTGATCTCATCCCTTGTGAAGGGCACGAAGCTGACAAACAAGCACACGGTGTTGGTACGCGATGAGTCGCTCTACGATGCTGAGCTCAGTCTTGCAGTTGCCAACATGAATGCTGTGAAGAATGGCACTTTCCCCAGGTTCGCCTATGTTGGGATCGCATGGGCTGGCAATGCACAGGTCAAGGATCAGATTGTCTCGAATGTGGAGGAAGTGTTCACTGAGCATGTCAAAGCTGCCATTGCCAGGAATGAGTACGGTCCTGTTGCACTTCCACCCTCGCTACTGTCTCGGCCAGTCTTGCAGAACAGCAGTCCCCCAAGCCTGAAGTTGGATCTGTTTGAGCTCACCCAGCCCACTGGAAACAACGAGCTGCACTGGCTTCGGGAAACCATCACCAAAGCTAAGTCATGTGGAGAGGTGTTGCTTCCTGACAGTGAGGTTTGGAAAGGCCTTGGGTGGAGCCAGCTCTTCGAGAAACACAACCAGGAGTTCAATCCCCAAGAGGTGATCCGTGCTAAGCGTGCTTCCGAGACAGAGGTGGGAGTGTCCCTTGCTGGCATTGTTTGTTGATTGATCCTTTGCTTCAAACAGTGTAAAAGTGTTTGTGCATGTGCTGTGACCCAGGTTGCAGCAGGACAACACTGCCGAGACAGTCTTGTCGTCAGTCTTGCAGTCCTCAGACCTCGAGCATATGGGGAAATGCCAGGTGCCAGGCCTGACAACCCATGAGTTCTGGGTGAACTCCCGTGGTGACTTGTATGTCAAGGGCCTCACAGACTGCATTCTTGAAGGAGCGCAGTTCCAGATCCATGGATTTTTCAAGACGGGGCGGGAGGCTTCGGAGCTGATCAGCAGTTCGGAAGGTGCTGCTTATGCTTACAAATTGACCGAGGATTCACAGGTGCTGCTTCGACCCAAAGCCGGCAAGAATTTGCCACCCAGTGTTCAGCAGTTTTCGAACAAGGGTGGGGCAATCAAGGATATCTTGAATGCCTTGTTAGTGGCAGGCCTCCCGAAGCCCTCGATCCACCTGCATTCCTGCGAGAACACAGTCAATGGCAACAACGTGGAGTGGAAGATCCTTGCATTGGAGCCGGCGTGCTTGAAACCCAGTGTCGAGGAGGCCCCAGAGGACCCGCATATGAAGTTCCCCCCACCAGTCGTGCCGCATGCGAAACTGTCCAGTTTTGTGGCCCTGAACTCTTTGTCACAATTCGATGTGCTGTTTTGTTTGGAATACGATGATCAGGCCAACAAGCTGAAAGGCATGATGCCTCAGGCAGTCATGAAACGCAAGGCCAGGATTTCAAAGGATTCCATTGCCAAGTTGTGAGTGGCAGTCTTGCAGTCCTGCAGTCAGGCAAGCTTGGTGTTTCCAGTAATGAGTCATAAGGATAGCACAAACTAACTTTTCAGTTTAGAGTCCAGATTCATTCAGTGTTTCATCAATCTTTGTATGCCAAGCATTTTGTGCCTTGTCTGCAAGCTGATACAAGACACTCGAGTCAGCAATAAGCTGTTCGGAGCTGCGCTTCATCTTGATTGCAAAAACAATCTGCACTGCTGCATTTGTCGTTCTGAGTGTGCGTCTTGCAAACCATGGTTTTCGAGACACCACAAGCTTTGCAAGACATTTGCGATACACCATACAATTCTACTTCAATCCCCCCAAAATCTGAACCCCTAATTTTAATACTAAACCCTGAATTTGAACCGAAAAATCCGACCGAGGTCGGGCCTGCGTACCCGGCAGTGAGTGTGGCACAGCAGCCAGTGTCGACGAGGGGCGGTCTATGGCCCCAACAGAAGCTTAAAGCTTCTGCACAGTCCTACAGTCTAGCAGTCCCTTTGGATGCTACAGCAAGACTGAGGACTGCCCTAAACCTCAAACCTTAGGGGTGATTAGGGTTTTGAGCTGTTCGGGTACCGAGCTTGGATGCCTGGTCGGGCATCTCAGCGCCTACAGTAAGGGCTTTAGGGTTGAATTTAATGTATAGTCTGGGTTTAAAGGGCCTTCGGTCCACTGCCGGCTGCGGGCATACCAAGGCTGCCTCGTGATTACAAATCAACCCTAGGCCCTAGACCTTAAACCCTTTAAACCCTAAGTTAGGGTTCGGGGCATTAGGGGCAACTTAGTTGCATCCTCGCGCTGCTGCCTGGAAGCTTGGGCTGGGGTTGAGCCTTGTCAGGAGTTCGATAATTACATGTTTTAGGTTTGAAAATAAAGTGCATCTTTGTTGATATGTCGGGTCTGAGAACTCTCTGCTAATTCGGGTCGGGGAAGTGTATCTTAGCTGATAATTCGGGCCTGGGTAGTGTTTGATAATTCGGGTCTGGGACTTGGATCTTATCTAAACAACCGGGTCTGAGAAGTGTGTGATAAGGGAAGTATATTTTATTATCTGATAGTTCGGGTTTGAGAGGTGTCTGATATGTGCACCTTCACTGAAAAATAGGGTCTGGGAAGTGCCTCATTATCTCATAGTTCGGGTCTGGGAAGTACATCATGTGTCTCTTAGCCGGTATTTCGGGTCAGAGAAGTGCCCTTACTTGATAAGAATGGTCTGGGAACTGCACCACTACCGCATTGATTCTAGTATGTCGGGTCTGAGAAATGCACCACTACCTCATAATTCAGGTCTGAGAAATGTAACATTACCTCGTAATTTGGGCTTACATTTGGGGTCTGGGAGTCTGAGAAGACTCTGAGAATCCTTTAAACTTTAGTAGGGTTTTAAGGTTTAGGGTGTAGGGCAGTGTCTTGTTGAAGTCTTACCCTATGATCTCGGAAGTTACAGACCTACCATATGCCTGAGAACTAAAGTACTACAGCCCAACCCTATCGTTATTTTCGAAGACCGGAAACCTCAAGAAGCCTGAAATCTGAAGACGAGGCTCAACCCTAAGACCGAAGACGCTGAAGTCCGAATGACACTTGCCCCGGCAGCCCTCCAAACTAAAGGGCTCTCGCCCTAGTACTTAGTGCATAATTTAATATGATCATACTATTATTCTCAGAGCATCATCATGCATGGCACCAGGGTCATCATCAGTATCATGATTAGATTACCATAGCGCGCAGTTGTGCCACCACCCGAAAGCCATCACTGCTAACAACCCGAAGCCCCAAGCCAATTTCAAGCACAACATCCCTGTCTGAAAGACACATTCATCCTTTAAACCCTTAAACCCCTAAACCCCACACCCTAAACTACTACAGCCCTAAATCCCGACATCGTGAACATATTGCCACCGGCCCGAAAGCCAACATAAATATATCTCAATAATACCAGAAAATCACCACCTAATTAATAATATATCGCCGACACTCGACGCTCGGCCCAGGCAGGCCGGTTTGGGTTTTAGGGTTTTAGGGTTTTGGGGTTTGTAGGGGGGTTTCTTCTAAGATGCTTGGGGTACAATGGTAGGGTTCCCAGAATATTGTTTTATAGTGAGGTTCTTAGGGGCTTTAATGGGCTCTGATAAGGGCAATAGGTCGGTTTAGGGTTTAGGGGCTTCTGGCCTTGGGCTTTGAGTGGGCTTTTGTTCTTGGCTTCAGAGCCCTAAACCCTAATTTCCGAACCCTAAACCCGAGCCCTACAACCCTAAATATCTAGACGATGTTGGTACTGCATGATCAAGATGATTGCTGAATGTTACTGCTGATGCTGCTGGTGAGGATAATGATGATGGTGCTGATCATGATGATATGATAATGATACGGTGATGTAATGATGTTGGTGGTGGTGATGCTGTGATGATGGTGATGACGATAATATTGATAACCATGCTGCTCATATGCTGCATGCATGATGTGATCTGGTAAGTGACATGATAGCATACCAGGACATGATACAGCATGGTAGGGCACAAAAACATATGGTAGTTTCCGAAAATTAGGGGTACCTTATATTGGGGTCCTTATAATTAGCATCCTGCTGTATTTAGGGTACTATATTAGGGTCCACTATTTTCGGAAACTCCCATATGTTTTTGATATTTGAATGCTTTGGGGCCTACCTTCAGGATTTTTTTTTGTTTTTTTTCGCTTGTGTTTCCCCCCAACCCCCCCAAACATTGGTATCTTACTTACCTTTTGCTGATATCTTAGTTGTGCCGCCGAGCCCTTAAGCATGAAACATCCGACTTGCGCGAAGCAAAGCGGGGTCGGCGGCACTGGCGGCAGCCCTTAAATCGGGCAGCGCTCGCTGCCCTGTATGTTCTGAGCTTAGCTCAGCCGAAGACCGCCTGTGCCGCCGACCCGCCGCCGACCGTGCTTCATCGGACCTTCGTTTCTCCATCGGGCCGCGCGGGCCCTCGCCTGGAGGCTTCTCGGAACGCGCACGCGTTTTGCAGCCATTCCCCGCGGTATGGCGGGTTTCGGGGCCGCCGTGGACGACCCCAACAGGCCAGGCGGCGAGCATCATGAGCCTTCGGGCGCCCGCAGCCGGAGGCGATGTTTTGGCTATGCTTTGTCCGGTTTTGAGTTGTTTTGGGAAGCCCCAAAGGGGCGCGCATCATCAGCATCAGCGGGGTTCAGCGGAGGGCGGGTGCGGGCTGCCGACGAGGGCGGAGAGGGCAAGGGGAGGGCAAAACACAAGGGCGGGTGCGTGGCCTAGCTTCAGGCTTCTACCTGCGCTGCCCGCATTTGGGCGCAGCCCCTAAAATCGGGCAGCGCTCGCTGCCCTGTATGTTCTGAGCTTGGCTCAGACGAATCATCTTGTTCTGCGAAGCAAAAGCCACGACCGCCCGCGCCGCCGACCCTGCTTCATCGGACCTTCGTTTTTTCCAGTGGGCCGCGCGGGAGGCCACCCGGCGAGCATCATGAGCCCTCAACCGGCTTTGTGGCCGGAGGCTATGTTTTGCCAGTTTTTGAGTTGGTTTGGGAAGCCCCCAAAAGGGCGCGCATCATCAGCATCAGCGGGATTCGGGGGAGGGCGGGTGCGGGCTGCCGACGAGGGCTGAGAGGGCAAGGGGAGGGGAAAACACAAGGGCGCGTGCGTGGCCTAGCTTCAGGCTTCTACCTGCGCTGCCCGCACCTGGGCGCAGCCTCTAGAATAAACGGTCCTTTTTCTTCGCTTTACCCCCTAGTACGATTCTTCGCAGCATAAGAGCGAGGAGATTGAAACTCAAAACCCCATTTACAAACCTTCCAAAATAAGCTTTCGTGTTTCTTCGCTATACCCCCAAATACGTCTGGCCTTCGCCTTCAGAAGACGTTTCATTGATGCTTATTCGTGTTTTCGCTGTTAACCCCCCTAAAGCGTTTTCGCATGGCTTTCTCCTTTATGTGTGTCATGGAAAGAAAGCTGTTATTCATTTCTTCGCAGCACGTTGGGGGGGGCTGCCCCCCCGTTTGCAAACCGTTCCAAAATACGCTTTTGTTTTCTTCGCTTCACCCCCCTAAAACGTCTGGCTTTCGCTTTGAAGAGGCGTTTCATGCATGATTATTCTTGTTTTTTCACTGTTAACCCACCTAAAGGACCTAAAGCGTTCTCGTGCGGCTTTCTCCTTTATGTGTCATGGAAAGGGCGTTTCTATTCGTTTCTTCGTGGCATAAGAGCGGAGAGTTTGCAGTCTAAAACAGCGGTGGGGGGCAGGCCCCCCCCCATTGCAAACCTTTCCAAACCCACGTAAAGCCCTTCAGCCCCCCCCTTATGCCCCCATTCAAGCCCCCCCCCCGTTTGCAAACTCGCAAACCAAGCCAAATTAAGCTTTTGTTTCTCTTCGCTATACAGATGTATGTCGATATATGTATTTTGTAGTTGTACTTCTAATGTTTATACTTGTTGCGGTTGGTAATACTGTTGCTATTGCCGTTGTTCACGATATCGTCATCGTTGTTGTTGCTGTGGTGCCGTCTCTTGATATAGCTACTGTATTTTCGTCTTACGATTATGATGATTATTATTATTATTGTTATTATTATTTTTTTTATTATTATTATTATTAGTAGTAGTAGTATGATTCGTATGACTTGGATTAGGGTTGAGGGTGTAGGGCAGTGTAGGGGTTTTCCGTTCCTTTCTTCTTATCCTCCTTCCTTCCTTTCTTGCTTCCTTTGTTTCTCCTTCCTTCCTTCCGGTCCCTCATTCCCTTCTTCCTTGGCATTCCTTCCTTCCTTCCGAGGTTCTCCATTCGTTCCTTTTTATCTTCCTTCCTTCCTTTCTTGCTTTCTTTTTTTCGCCTTCCTTCCTTGCCTCCTTCCTATCTTCCTTCCTAACTTTCTCCCGACATTCCTTCCTTCCTTCATTGCCTTCGAAGGGACCCGCCCTAAACAAAAAAAAGGACCGAAAAATTACCCCCTCCCTCCGAATATCTCCGATGGGTCTCTCGGATCGGATTGCAGAGGCGACTCGGTTTCTGGTCTGTGCAAAGGGTGGGAACCAGTGCATTTCTGGATGTTGGCTGCCGAGCGAGTGAGCAGAACCCTGTGCGCATCTGCACGCATGTGGCCTGAAGAAGCGCCATGTAACTCATGATGTGCAAGCGCCAAGTCGTAGTCCGGAAGAGCATCGGATTGGTGCCTGAGGCCCGGTAACATACCCAAGAGCCTAAGACTAATCCCCAAGTCTTCGAAAGTCTTCCTGGGTAGACCCGTCTCACCGTGGTCGTGATTTTGCACACGATACATGCATCTCGATTTTTCCACTGTGATCGCTTCCAGACCTTGCGTTTGGCCTCCCTTCTCACCCAAAGCTGTCAATCTCGGCCAAGGCACTGTACATGAGGCTGCGGAAAGGATCTCGGTGCGCAGCCGTGGAAGTGCAAAGCACGGAGGAGCCATTGGAACCTTTGCAGGAAGATGCAGGGAGGGTTACGCAAGCAATTGAAAAGATATGCTCGATGTGCACATCCGGGGTGCCCTGCACCACCAGACACGGGCAGCAGCCTCATCCCCCAAAACAGCCTCATAGGGGCCGCCTCGGGACCTCACTGCACCAAGCTGGACAATCATATCATGAATAAAATACAGCTCAACTCAATCGACAACAATAACACACGAAAACATGCGATAGCGACAGGACACGAGAGCGAGTCGGTTTAAAAGATCTAGAGTGCCGGTCCCCGGTCAGTGTAAGAGCTGATCTTCTCTGCATGCCATCTCCTTTTCCGGCATACACCAGCATTTCCCTTGGGCATCGGCTGTTCCGATGCGATCGCTGCGTCTCTTTGAAACTGCCTCGGCGACTGAGGCAAGCAATCACAAATTCTGGCAGACATGTGCGGGCAGGCATGACAGGCAGGAGATTGCAGGAGCGTTTGGCAAAGGTTTAGGTTCCGCTAGCACTGAGGTTCAAAACGCTGCCAGCGATGCTTACTGGCAATTGGCAACGATGTGTCTGAGACTTGAGCAGGGTCCGGTACCAAGACTTTCGATCCGAGTCGCACCTGGGGCAAAGACTCATAGACGGTACGCCACAACATGCAAGCTACTGGCTGCATCTGTCAAACCTCCAACATCCAACGATCATGCACAGCTGAATGGATAAGATTCAATTGCCCTTCTTGAAAGGAACCCCGCCGAGGTGCAAGCTCCTGGCCAGAGTCCCAGAACGGAGGCTCCTGCAAGGCTGGAGACATTGCCTGGCCCTGTAAGTCGTGCCTCGTGAGAGTTATACTCGGTCCCGGGCCCAAAGATTCTCCGGAAATGAGTTCTTCACAGGATCTGAGCTGAAGTACCAGGCCTCAACACAGGAGGCCAACTACACTCCAAAGATCTACAGCGCGGCGCGTCCCGTCAGAGCCCGGCCGTGTACGGCGACGGGGGTTCGCCATGCTGACGTGCCGTCAAGATCTCCTCCGAGCACAGGGCTGAGATTGGACGGTTGACGTCACCAATGCTGGGAGAGTGCATAGAAGGGCGGCCCGAAGAAGAGCTTGTGTCGTAGATGCCTGGATCGGCACGGCTGGGGCTATTCAGTGTCACACGGCTTGCCTGCATTTCTTAAGTAAAGCGAAGTGCACAATCTCGTTTCTATGCCTGGACGCGACTGATGTTCATCATCTTGTCACATCCATATTGTTTAACTGTTGAGTCAAGACTGGGGAAGGACACTTTTCCTGCACACCGATGCCGAGTGTCGCACACCCCTAGCAAGGCCGCGCGGCCTGCAGCTTGTCTCTCCTGTGCTTGTTCAGCCACACTTGATGCTTAAACCTAACTCACTGTAGACCTGGTTGATGCTTGAAAGAGAGGCAGATGCCTCTACACAAAGCTTGCCGGCACACGCCGCACGCTACCCTTTTGCCGCTGGCTCGCACGCTCGAGCATCCCATGCCCTCGGGCAGAACATGTGCATTCAGATCTCACCGCATGACAAACTGAACCCTAGGGACCTCTGAAATCACACCAGTCATACTCCTGAGATTCTGAAGCATCATGTCCTCTTCAGTGAGACACTCTGGGCTTTCGCCCCATGGTAAAAAGCTCTCTGCAGCAAAATGCTGCGTTGCCTGCAGGAATTGAGCCGACATTTCGTTGGCTCTCCTTTCGTGTTCCTTCTTGTTCAGCTTGCGGCCTGCGACGAAGTCCGGGTCGTACACCAGTCTCCACTGTTGTTGCTGCGACATCAGTTGCAGCAAGATCTTTCGTGCCGAGGCCTTGGTCATAGCATCGGCGATCATCTCAGTACCCGCGACCCAACGAAGGTGGGTCTTCACAGCCTGGGCTTGACTCACTGCAACAGTCAACTCGTAGCCGGCCCGGGAACTCCTGAGGCCATGTAACGCGGAGGTATTCCGCACCATGGCATCGTAGATGCCACGAGAGTCCATCACAAGGGCTCCCTCGGTCCACTGTGCCACTTGTTGTGGTAGCTCGTTGCGGCGAGGGATCACGCCATGTATCTCCATCCACATCGCACGGATCAGAAACACCAGGTCCTCCCCAATCGTGATTGCTTGGACTTCGGACCCGTTCGATCCCAAACTTTCGCGAGGCGCCTTGGTGGAGCGCCAGGAGACAATGTTCATGGCCACACGCTCGCCCTCGAGGATCTTGCGAGGGGCGAGAGCACCCACAACGCCCACTGTGCTACCCCTTTTTGGGCGATTGTTTTGCGCAGCATCCGCCCACACGACGGCCACCAATTCGCTCCAGGGGAACTGGTAGGCGTGGAAGTGGAGGATCTGCTCGGCAGTCCTCTTCGCCTCCCGGACCATCTTGTTCGCCCGGATCATCGTGTCCACGGTCGCATTCGGGACCTCGGAAAGAAGCAGGCCTATTTCAGCCGATAGCTGAGGGCTTGTTTGGTTTGCCCTCCAAGAGAGGGTTCCAAGAACTCCTCTAAGATCACTCACCTCCTTTTGGGTGAGTGGGCTGCTCTTCTGCTTCTCTCGCTCGGGGCTCAGGTAAGCCTCCTCGATCCACTTGTTCGTGTAGCTCTCCTGTCCCAGGATGATGGAGAAGTCTTCTCGCTGCGTCAGGTCACTCCCGGCGTACTCAAACTGCTTTTGTTCCCAGCGTCCCCATGTGAAGGCCGTCTCGAGAGATTCACGGGCCTTCTTGTAGACGCTCGACGCAGTGTCGCCCGCCACCAAGAAATCGTCAACGTGGACGCCAGCGATGCCAACCAAAGTGTTGTTCTGGTCGAACAGCACATAGCGGCACCGATCGGCAGAAATTTGCCTCCATCCTTGTTCCAGCAGCACCTTCGTGACCGTCTCGTGCCACCGCCGAGGACTGTCCACCAGGCCGTAAAAGGCTCGCAGCACCTTTAAGATAGTGCCGTCACTTTTGCCATCACCTCCGAAAGCGGCACCCAACTCCGCTGGGGCAAACACGTAAAGGTCGTCTTTCTCGAGGTCAGACAGGGCCTGGAGGAACGCGGATGTTACGTCCGCCGATTCAAGTAGCCACCGTTGGTTGGCCACGACCGACAGAAGAAGGTACTTGCCGAGGCGGGAGAGGGTCGGAGAAGAGCTCTGCGTAGTCAGAAGAGTCGGCGACTGGTACCCGAGGATGACCAGTCGCGCCTTAGCGGTGCCCGACGATTTCGTCGTTAGCACCCACCTCATTCTCATCACTCGATCATAAGAGATCTTCTGGGGCTCCGACTCGGTCAAGGATCTCAGGGCCATGGTCTTGATCACGTTGCTGATTTCTTTCGCTTGGGCTTCATCGAATTCTTCCTTCTGGGCCTGAGTCAACTCTCGCCAATTGTGTTCTTTGCCCTCCTCTTGCAACTTCTTGCTGAGCCACACTTTGGCCTTGCGAGGCCGAGAGGTTAACGCCTTCCAGTCCTTGCCCTCCATCTCGATCTCATAGGCATAGCCGATCACTCCTTGATCTTCAGGTCCTGGTCCCGGTTTGGGCCGCTTCGGCTTTGGGTGCCCATCCTCATCTTCTTGAAGCTCAGAGTCCGAAGAATCAATCTCCTCCGTCTCATCGCCCGACTCCTCCACTGGAATCCGGGTGTCGGTGCGGCGGTCATACGCAAAAGGGTTGCCGCCAGCATCGCGATGAGATAGTTGGTGTCCGCCAGGAAGCACGCACTCTGTCACAGGACACCCGTTCACCGAACTAGGTTCTGGTAGAAGACCACGAGGTGTGTCTGGGACCAGCTTGCCTTGGAGATCAGGGGTTCCCGGCATCGCAGAGATGGTGTTGGAGGTACTGGCGTCCCCGGCAAAGCTGACACAGGTGTTGGAGGGACCAAGTCGCCAAAGGCTGGACTCGGATCTACGGCAGGATCTTGGGGACCTTGAGGTTGTGATTCTTGACGAGGTACAGGCGGTCTATTAGATCTCGATCTAGCTGTGGGCCCTGACCGACTCGACCGACTTGGCTCGCGACCTCTCTCTGGTACAGGATCTTGGGGACCTTGAGGTTGTGATTCTTGAGGAGGTACCGGAGGTCTAGGCTCAGCAGCTTCAGGCTCAGAAAGTTGCAAACGGCGAGCTTGAGCAAACTCGCCAGGTGAGCTTCCTTGAGGGTGCGACGCTTTTATTCGGAAATGGGTTTCACCTGACCACCGGTCGGAAAGGCAACGTCCTGGGTTCTCGCCCGTCACAAAGTCATCGTTGATCACCTGCTCGTTGCCAGTCGATTTCACAAAGGTCACCCTCTCACCGGTCAGGTGCTCAGCTGCAATGGGCATTGTCCTCTCCTTCGTGCGAGAAGGGGTGAACAGCGCTAGCCTGGGCTTAATGTGCACTCGCACCAGCCACGGTCCTTGAACTTCCCAGCGATCTTCGCCAGGACACCGGGGACGAGGAGCTACTCGAACTTCAGCTTGAGAAAGGTCTTCTCGGGCTTCCTGAGGAGGATTGTCGCCGGCAAGGTCTTCATAAAATCGGCCGCGAAACCCGCGAAGCAGAGTCTCCATCGTCACCGGCATCTTGTAGATCGATGCCCCGCTCGCCACGGCTGTCATCTCCTCCTTCTTGCTGCAGGGCCTCACTTGGTTCAATTTGGCCCTCAACAAGGTTGCCCCACTCGCCATCCACACCGTTGACCCTTCCAAGTGAATGACCCGCACTGGGCCTGTCCAGGCTCCTTTTCCGGCATTCTTGCGGTTGCGCCATAGCATCACAAACTCACCCGCTTCGTACTTTGTCCTCGGGCGTCCAACAGAATTGTTCAACTTGCTGAGGTGATCCGCGGCCTGCGCCTTCCGATACGCCACCCCAGCAGACTCACGTTGTTTCAGCAGCTTTTCGAAGGCTTTGTTGGGGTCGATGCCAACGGGGACCTCACTCGGAAGGCCGCCACGGCTCCACTGATACGGAGCAAAGCCAGTGTTTGGCTGGATGGTGGAGTTGTGAGCATGGCACGCCAGCCGAAAAGCATCCTCAGGAGACAGTGCTGGCATCTCGCGCCCAAGGCGCTCCACCGTGTCCTTGAGCTTCCTTATCAGACTCCTCGGGTCCAAGGATCCAGTGAGATTCCGCCGGGGAGACCAAGTGGCCCACACCGGACCACATAGTACAAAGCCGGGTCGGTCACCAGCCAGGTCGGCTGGGGATAGTACTGCAGCCAGTTTTGGATAAAGCACCGAATCATCTGCGAAGAGCTTGGTTCCCAGTGCTCGCTGTACTTCTGCATCATAGAGACCGAGGCTGTTCCAGAGGCCCGGTCGTGCCACACACAGCCCTTGATTTTCATAGGCTTGCCCTCCGGGCCGACATAAGCGAACTCGAACACATCCGACCCCACCATCTCCCACAGCTTCGGAGGCTCCTTCAAGGTCGAGGGTGGCGGTGGTGCCGGCAATGGTCGCCGGGACTCCACACAGTCAGGGCACTGCAGGGATCGCGCAAGCTCCTGTGCCCAAGAAGGTGCTCCCCTTTGCGCCAGAAGTTTGGCCAGGCTCGCCATTGAAGCATGTCCTGATGCCCGGTGCACCCTCATCATCATCTGCCGGATCTGCTCCAGCTTGCGGCCTGTGGGAGGCTCCGGTGGGACCTTTTGACGCGACAGTGCCATTACAGGGACATTCTCCTCCTCGGGGTCGCCGGTCCCACGAGCAAACCATTGTTGCTCCAACAGAATTTCTTCCACATCCTCGGCCAGAGCATTCACATGGTGATCTGCCCTCATCGTGTCTTTGATAGCCTGAGCCGCTCGGTTCACAAAGGCCCGGGGCCACCTGCCAGACATGCCGCCGAGGATGGAAGGACGTCATTGTAGTCGATGTGGTCCTTGCACCCAGGGCAGCCTCGCCGAAGCAAAGTCTCAAAGGACTTGTTGGTGGTCAGGATCCGCCACCTCTTTCTCACCGGGGTGCCCTGGGTCTTGGCCCCATAGGCACAAGCATCAATGTAGAAGTCGTGCAGGCGGTGGTGCATTTTGTTCATTTCACTCCGGAGGTGGTCCATGAACGTGGTCTTGTTGCACCTCGCTTCGGCTGGGATCTCCCACACGAAGTCCCGGCCCCTCTCCACTTGAGAGAGCATCGCCGCCACAAGGCCATTCATCACTTTGGCCTCTCGGGGCGAGCCCGTTCCAGGTTCTTCACCTGGTTGGGTCGTAGGTGCTCCCACGGTCGCGGCATAAAGGTCTGCATTTTCCAAGCCACCCAAAGAACCTTTGGGTCCTCGTTCTTCAGCTTGGCCAGCAGGGCCTGCCGCCCTTCACCACAGCGAACGTCACGTAGGAGGTCACCCGGGGCTTGTGGAGCAAACTTCTCGAGGTCATAGCCCTGAAGGTTCATGGTGTCCACAAGGTTCGGGTCGCCGAAGTTCGTTACCTCCAGGAAGTCCACGTTGCGCCGAACAGCAGGAAGGAGAGTCCCAAGGCCTTGGTGAAGGTTGGCAAACAAAGCCGCCGTCCCCGCCGCAAGGATCTTCTTCATGTTGGAGTTCGGCCGTGCTTGGCTCGGAGGGGGGCTGCTGGCTTTGGTGCCGGGCCCGGGCTTCTTGATTTCCAAAGGCTCCCCACGGTGGCCCCGCCGAGGAACACGTAGTCGTTCCTGAAGCCCGCAGAGGCGCGCCACCATCGAAGCCGTGTTTCTTACTCGGTCTCCTCCTCCTGCTCGGTCTCCGCCCCGGCGGCCGTCACTGCCTCCTCCAGGATGGCGCCCCTCTGCTCCTCCAAGCGCTTCTGGAGAATCTCGATCTCCTGCAGCCCGGCCGCCAAGTGCTCGTCGGACTGGTTTATCGGGGTCTCGGAAGCGCTGGACCTTGGTGGCCGCCAGGGTCCTCACGCTCGGCTGCTTGGCCGTACTCCATCCTCAGCTCGCCAATGGCCCGAAGTAGCACGGCCCGCGGTGGGCCAGAGGTCCGGTGTTTTCCTTTGAAGCCAGGCTTGGCCTCGTAATGGAGCCTCAGCCCACATCGATCGCAGGCGCTCCAACTTGCGAATTGGTTTCCCTGGCTCCTCCCCAAACGGTGTGCTCCATGGCATGGCCACTCGTGGTGGCGAGGGTCGTCCTCCAGTGCAGGAGGGATCGCTTTGGGGGCCATGGGAACGTACTCGACGATCCAATTTGAACCGAAGGTGCTGCAACATGCCACGAACATCATGTTGAGCATGCTCAGGAGGCTGCTCAGGAGGCTCTCCGTGCACATCGGGCTCGATCATCATGACTTTATGATCGAAGCAGGTTTCACAGCATGAGGTGCGGTCCTGCTCTTCACTGTCACAACCCAACACGCACTGCACTTCAGCACTTCGTGGCTCTGTTGCTGTCACGTACATTTTCTCGGCTTCCGGAAGGTCCGAGGGCTCGTCGTCCTTGGTTGCCTGCTTCTTGGCACCGCTGGAAAGATCATGTTAAAAAGGCCGGGGGTTTTGAACACATCGGCGCTATGCGAGGTGCCACCAGCCATGGCCAGATTGAGGCCAAACTCATCACGAACAAACTCCTGGAGAAAACCAAGGGCACAGCACTTCTCACTCAAGTCCACAGCCAGGTGCCCGTTCTTGGTGGGGTACAACGGAAGGGCAGCAAGATCTCCCTCGAGAGGCCGCCGAAAAGTCATCATGTTATCCCCATAGCTCAAGATAGCTTGCAAACTCCGCAGGGTACGGCCTCCAAGTAGCAAAGGGGTGTTCTGTGCTTTCGGGGCCTCGTTGCTGCTCTCGTCGTCCAGCAGAAAGTCGAACGGGCACTGGAGAGCTTGCAACAAACGGTCCATAGAACGAATCCCGCATGCACTCTCCGTCGCCCCGGTGTCCACGATCACTTGTGTCGCCCACGTCGTCGCCAGCTCGCCGACCGAGAGCACGAAGGTCTCGGCAGCGTCATCCTCTGGGCCCCCGCCGGCATCGCAAAGAACATCTCGATCTCGCGCGCCGGCGCGTCCCCTTCGGCTTCCGTCTCGCCAAAGGTCTCGTCCGGAAAGACGGCGTAGAAGTCGTGGAAGTAGTTGCCTTTCGGCTTGCCCTTTCCTTTTCCTCTGCCAGCCTTCGCTTTCCCCTTCTTGCCGTGGTCTGCCGCCGGGCCTCCAGCAAATCGCCTGGGACACTCAAAGAACCGATGGCCGAGCTGACCACACACATAGCACGGGCCGGCTCCTTTCCCTTTTGGAGTGGCTCCTTTTCCAGGGGGAGCTCCTTTTCCTTTTCCGCTGTCTTTGCCGCCAACCGGGAAATATCCCCTGGCACCCCTGGCTTTTGCCACCGCCGCTCTCGCCTGCTGCAGGGTTCTGTTGGCCTCTTGGGCTATCGCAAAGGCCTCCTTCTCATCATTCACCAGGTCGGCGTCCTCGGTGGCAACTGGGTCCTCATAGCTCTCGGGGCCTTCCTCGTAGGTGTCTTGGGCGTACAGGTCCGGCTCGGTGGCATAGTAGGCCGGGTCCTCGTAATAGTAGGCCGGGTCCGTGTAGTCATCGTGGCCGGCCGCCTCGTAGAAGTCGCTGTAATCACCGTAGGCCCCGGCTTCCTCCTTGTAAAAGGCGGGGCACCGTCGTCCTGGTAGTAGGGGCCTGGGTCCTGCCACGTTGGGTCCCAAGCCTCTTGAGCGTACGCCTCGTAAGTGGCGTCGGCCCACCAAGTTGGCCGAGGTCGACGGTGCCCTGCTTCAGCCATGCCTTCGTCGAACAAACTGCGAAGGGCCTGCCGCACTGCTTGGAAACATGTAGAATTCCCAGTCAAAGTCAGGACCTGCTGTCGCTCCTGGTATCCAAGATGGCAGGCCTTAAGCAGTCGGTATCCCCGGAGCTCGTCCTCAAAGAAGCCGGTAAGGGGACTGTCGTCGTCCCCGCTCGCTGGGCTTGCGGGAGGTGCCGCCTCAGAACGCGTCGTCCTCTGAGACCGGCCGCCCGGAGATCCACCAGTCGCGCTCGCATGTGGGCTGGCTGTCTCCTCCTTCTCGTCTGTGGTCGGTGCCGTCGTCGGAACAGGCTCGGGCGTCGAAGAAAAAGGAAAACCCACGCCCTTGCCCTTGCCGCTGAGCACTCCAGACCCGTTCTCGCGAGCACGCCGTAGAGAAACTTGAAGTTCAGTAAAAAGCTGCGGTATGTTCTCATGGGCTCTCTTCTGCAGGCCTGACCATTTTTCCAACCTCGAGAAACTGTCCGGGATCGGCAGCTTCTGCAGCGGGCTCTCGCGAAGGACATTGAGGAGCTTCTTGACACCATCCTCGGAGGCAAAGTTCTCAGGGTTCAAGTGCCGAACCACTCCCTTTGCTGGCCCGGACATTTTGTTCCAGATCCTTGCCGCCGCCAGGTGTCGCTCATTGTCCTTCAAGCCAAAAGAGTACCACGAACAAGCCGTGGCAAATCTCTCGAACGTGTTCGGGTCGCCATCCCAGGTGGGAATCTCAGAGCCAAACGTGTGAAGTGCCATGTCCCGCAACACGCCGCCCGCCTTCAAGTAGCCGAGGATCGCACCCAGGAGAAGGAACACGAAAGTCCTCGGCGTCGTCCTGCAGAAAGTAGGGCCGCTCCACGGCCGCCGCTGCACAACGCTCTCAGGGCACCCTGGACCGCTCCAGGAATGCTCCGCTACCATCAAAGAGAGGCAGATGCCTCTACACAAAGCTTGCCGGCACACGCCGCACGCTACCCTTTTGCCGCTGGCTCGCACGCTCGAGCATCCCATGCCCTCGGGCAGAACATGTGCATTCAGATCTCACCGCATGACAAACTGAACCCTAGGGACCTCTGAAATCACAATGCTCAACATGCGCGACTCTGAAAATCAACCTTGAAGCCCGAACCCACGTTACTTTGCCATTGTCTCGTCGTCCTCGCTGGACTTCATGGCAAACATCGCTGCCTCAAGGAGTCTGCTACCGCCGAAGCATCTGGCAAACACACTCGAAAAGCAGCACCGGCTTTGTATCCTCAGCAGCCATATTTGCCGCTTATAGGCTCTAAAAGAGAAAGTATTCAGCATTTCATCGGTGAAGATTGGGACATGTGGCCTCCAAGCGATGGCGGACCAGCTCACCCGGCCTTCATCAGACTGCAAACCCGTCGAGAGGAAGACACGTGTCACAATTGATCACGCATCCATCGATAACCTGCAAATGCCTCTACGCGGACCTACTGCAGGAAGAGAACCTCAAACTCTCATCCTTCTCGCATGCGAAGCCCTTTTCGAGCAATCTTGCCAATCCTGCACCGATTCAACGCAGCGCGGCCAAAATTGCCTCGTGACGAGGTGAAAATCATCCTCCAGAAACAGCAGGAACTCCTGCCCCAAAACAAGGGACCGAGTCTGACCTGTAGAAGGCCATCTCATTCAGAGAAGGCACACCTTCAAAACGCTGCGAAGTGCCCGGAAAGTCGTTCAACATCATGCCGACAGCCGTGGCAAAAGAGAGCTCAAACTCAATTCAGCGCAGGCATTTTGTCGGTGTCAAGTGCTAGTCTCCAGCAACCCTCCTGGTCACATGCCACAGCGCAAGCGGCCATGGCAGCGCCTGTGCGAACTATTGGAACGACGGTTGGTCGCAAGCTTGAGCTTGGCGCTGTTGGGCTGTGACCGCTTGACTGCTTCTCTGGAGTTGCGACTGTCTCAGGCACCAGGACCGGCCTGGATCTCCAAACTTTTGACGCTTCCTGACGAGCCGTCGATGGTTGTCAAGGGCACAGCAGGGCACAGCGCGCTACGGGTGAGAAAGCCAACAGGACAATGTGCAGACCGCTCCTGATGAAGGGCTCCGGCCACGAGGACTCCGGCAGAAGCTCCAGGCCAAACCGCTCCGCGAGCTGCCATGTACCGTGATGAAAAGTCCGACAGCAACTTACAGCACACAGAGTATTCACGTGCACCTTCCTCCGCCAGCACAGCACCTGAGAGACATGGCCTAGTAGCAAAGTACGGTTCACGTATGTAGCTCTTCCTGCAAGTATTTAGTCGGCATGCACAAACATCGCCTGATCATGCGGTGCTTCCAGACCTCCCCACCTGACAGCGTCTCAGAGCCTGACCGCTTCCTCCAGTTCCACATGCGAAAGAAAGGCCACAAAGCGTCGCCGGGCAAGTTTGAGCCTTTACGGACTGTTGGCACTTTCTCACGGCTCTTCGAAAGCCTACTGTGCCTACAGTTATCTTGGGGCACAGCAGACCACCCTCTTGGTAGGACCTGGGGTCGTGAACGCGAATAAGGGGTTTCATCAGAACCGGCTACCATTTGAGCATACGACTGCAACGAGGATTGAAATGTGCTTGCACCCTCGCCGTGCATCACACACAGGCACAAGCTGGTCGACCTCCAAGACGGGATGTCGCACCAGATGCATCTGTTGATTGCTGGCTCGACAGAACAAGGATCTTAGCAGTCCATGCATATCCATTGTCGAGCTGCCGGCCCCTCACTTGAGCCGGATTCCTTGAAACTGTTCTGAAAAGTCTGGGGAACAGCGCAGGTGCCGGCCAACGCTCTTGCCTTCATCCACTGGCGCTCTGCCACCTGCACACATCCGCTGGCATTGGGGTCGGTACTCTCGACGACGGCACCTTGACAGACCGCTTCTTGCAGGACAACCAACCGCCTCACGCTCATGCCACGGCTCCTCGCCAGTATCGACCTGGGTGGGACCAACACTCAATAAGTCACCCACGGCATTATCCCCAGAAAACCGCTTAGCCGCCCGCCAACGTCTGCCATGCCATCCGCTTCCTTGCATTGCCGTGGCGCATGTTGCACAGGCTATGTTGTCGTCCAGTTTCGAGACGTAGGAAGCGGGCACGTGCACACACACACACACACAAACACACACACACACACACACACACACACTCACTCACACTCACTCACACTCACACGCACACTCACGCTCACACTCACACTCTCTCACACACACACACTTTTGCAAGCTGATGACAGCTCGCTCCACAACTCCTTGAAATGGAGCCGATGAATTGATGATGACCGTGACTGTGACTATGATGGTGCTGATGGTGATGGTAAGAGCGAGGGTGATGGTGATTGTAAGGGCGAGAGCGACGGCGAGGGCCATGATGATGATGATGGTGACGATGATGATGATGATGGTGATGATGATGATGACGACGATGGTAATGGTGACGATGATGATGATGATGGTGATGATGATGATGATGATGGTGATGAAGAAGAAGATGAAGATGAAGATGAAGATGAAGATGAAGATGAAGATGAAAATGAAAACGGAGATGAAGATAAAGATGATTATGTTCATGATGATCACGATGATGATGACGACGACAGCCAGATGACATGATCATTTTGGTGCCAGTGTCTGCCGACCGACATTACCAGTGTGTGGGTGCAGCCCTGCTGCGTTGGCCTCAAGGAACGCTGCAGCAGCATGTGAGAATACAGAATATAGACTGTAGATGAGCCGAGGCAAGGCCGTACGCCACTCACGAGAGGTAGGCAAGCAAGTGCACGGGTAGAGGGGAAGGTCTTCATCAACCATCAACTGGGATCTTCTTCTCACTGGCTTGGTCCCCTGCAATGGAACACACAAAAAACGTGAACCCCTGCATCCATGAACGAGGATTGGCCACACGAACAGGCAGAAAGAGACACAGACAATGCTTTTGCAGCCGAGCCACCGTGCAAGTCGACCGGTCAGGCGCCGAAGCCAGCGCAAGTCCACGACCTCTGTGGGCCAGGCTGCTCACCTAAACCTCGAAACCTTCAGCCGAAACCCCTGTTTTCTGACTGCTTGCACGCATGCATACGCATGCCAATCCACCGGGACAGAAACAAATGCTAAACAACATCTGACTTTCTTGTTGACACAGACTCCCGGCATCTACTGACGATGCTTGTTTATAAGAGCTCCTGTTCATAACCGGGAGGCGGACCCCCGGCCACCAGCCCTCGCCACTGACGTACGCGGAGCAATCCTGCATGCCCAGTCTGGAATCATCAGATTGGGCTTGGTTGTCGCCGGTACTAGGCTTGCGTCTCTTGCTTGGGTCCAGCACGCCGGGGACCCCGAGCGCCGCCATCGCGGGAGCCACAATCGAGCTTTCGAGAAGGAGCACGGAGTGTAAAGCCTTCCATCTCTCCAAGACTCTCCAGACTTCTGCGACATCCCCACTGAAAGCAGAACCGCTTTTGTCATGACTAATCTGGCGAAGTCACAGAGTCAAAGAGCGAATGCGGAGCATCGTGGGCCTCCCACCTGTGATTCAACTCGGTGGACTTGCATTTCCTCCAAGTTACCTTCTGCTTTTTGAGCAGTCTCCCTTATGCAGAAGTCTAGACAGACTTCATCGCAAACTTCGCCCTGGCTGCCACCCCGATCACTCGAAAAAACCTCGGCACGACATGCAACCTCGCTGAGGCCGGAGCAGTAGAAGTACCACCTGAGAGCCAAGTACGAGATCAGAAATGTGGGACGGGTGAGGCGGCATTGACAGTGCGTTGAGACGAAACATTCAAGGGATCTTGGTCGCCGGGCGGTCAGTGCGGTGAAGGCTCCTGGAATACATGCAGCGAGGCTGGCATCCTGGCTCGGTGCAAACTTGGCTGCATGTTGCACGCAGTTCAGCGCAGCGACGCCACAGGGAAGCTGCATGCTTGTCCTCGCCAGTCTCCTGGAGGGCCTGGAAGCTACGATGCAAGGCTGCAGGACAGACCACCCAAACGTGGAAGCTCGCCCTACACAGCCGGCGCAACCCACACGCGGCCTGATAGACGGTGTAGGCCGCGGAATACAAGTGTGGCCTGGTGCTTGGTGAATTTCTTGAGTTGGGCCCTTGGCCGCCTCCTAACTTTAAGCCGAGATCCTCATGACAGCAAAGCACCCAGGCCAGGCTGTTCCGGAGTTAGGGAAGCATGCTAAAAATGGACATAGCAACTGTCTGCAAACCTCCACAAGGCTGACCGCCCTCAAAGCCCTTGCAGCGAGAGCCGCTTAAAGCTGCTGGGCTTCCAAACGGAATCTTGCGCGCAAGGTCCCAGCAACGGCCAGCATCTGCTAAACCTCATATGGGCTCACATCTTGGAGCTCCATGATCGTGCAAAAGCTACGATATGCCGGAGTGCCGTGCTAGTCAGCTAGTCATGTGTGACGAGACTCTTAAGCCTGTTCTGCCATAGGGCATGGGCAGAACGTCCCAGGGAGAACACAAAAGTTCAAATGCAACACCTTTCTCAGTGCCCGGGCCGAGCCATGCACTCGCCTCGAGCTGACCCTGAACCTGACATGCGCATCTTCGCAGTCGCCAAAGTCACACACTTGGCAATGCAGGATGGTGGCGCACTGCCATTGCCAGCACCTTGAAGGTCGCAACGACACCTTACAATCAATCAAGAGAAGATTGCCAAAAACTGCCTGCAGCAGCGGACTGCGCAATGCGATTTCTAGTGGCGTCACAGCGTCACATTCTGGGTATCCTACCCGTCTTCCAGCCGTATGTCAGAATGATGGACCCAGATGCCTCCCTACATGGGAGAAGCAACAATGCTTCTCTCTTTTGGCAAAAGTCTGCCAGACTATGCCAGCCTCGCATTTCGTACGCAAGACAATCCACTACCCAACTTTGAGCTCGCGACACTGCCTCCCATGTGCCAAGAAGCTCGGCAGTCATTTGAGCACAACATGGCGCAACGTGGGTACTAAGCCTTGTAAAATCTGCCAAAGCATGGAATGAAGGATGAAAGCTAAGACAAAGTAAACTGCTGAACGGTGGAAGACCGACTCTGCTGGTGCCAAGTTCTCATGCTTGACCGCCCTTACCACTGCGAAGTTTGTGGAACACTAACGCATGCAGTGTTTCCATCCGTTGTGATCTGTCAGGTGCACAGCTATCGAGCCGAGCTGCCGGGCAGACACGATCACTGCTCAGACTGAACATAGGACATGGGAGCGAGCAGCGATGACGACGGTGAACATAAGTCGACTTTCATGATGGCAGCGAGTTTGGGTCATTCGTCTTGCCTGCGACGGGCTGGCCAGATGATGTCGAAGTGTCCGACAAGACTGCCACGAGATGTCCGGCCGCGATACTTTTTCAGCTGTCGACAAAGATGGGCTGGCTTTTAATCCTATTCGCTCAGCACGAACCCGGCAATCGATAATCAAAGCTTCCAGGATTAAAGCTCTGCTTGAATGTTGCATTGTGGCACTGGGTCTTTGCTCGAGCAGGGTCTGTGCAGCAGACATTTGGATCCAGATCCGTTCGCGCTAGCATGAAGTATCACAACCGGCGCATTGGATTCAACTAAACGGAATTCTTCAAAAACCCACGTCCCAGCAAGGGGCTGCGAGCTATCAGAAGCAAGCCAAAATAACGCTGAACTCAGCTCCTTCAACGCAGCCACACTGCATTCACGTGGGGCTTTCATCAGGTGGGGGCGGATCCTGCTGCAGGGAGGCCATGAGATCGGTGCTCAGCTTCGGTGATTGGTCGGGTGGCGGCATATTTGGGCCGTCTCCCTGACCGGCCTGGCCGGGAACCTTTTCCACCTTGATGGGCATCGGCTTTCCGGGCTGTGGAGTCTGTGGGCCTACAGCTGTCAACAAATCGAAGGGTCTGGGATCGGTGCCCAGTTCTTCGCTCACCACCGGCCTTGATTCTTCCGGTGGAACCGTGGCCGGCGGGGGATAGGACATGAGGTCTGGCCGCGGATGGCGCAGCGCGCCATTGGTTGCCGGGAACGGAGCCGTTGCTGGCGGGTGCCAGGGCGCTGCAGCCGGATCCAGGCCAGGCAGTGGGGGCTGGGGGAGGGCTACGGGTTGGACGGGTTGTGGCGGGGGGTGGCGGTAAGCGGGGGGGCCAGCAGACGGCACATCGTAGGGATGATAGCCTGCAGGCCCTGCAGGGCTGGTCCGGTCATAAGAATCGTACTGGTTGGGATTGGGCGGGGGGTTGGTTGCGAGTGCAGGTCCCTCCCTGTGGGGTGCAGGTGTTCGTTGCACCCTTGAAACTGCAGCTGTTACCAAGCGCTCATAGCCTGGGATGATTGGAGGGGCAGGGGTTTGTCCAACTGTACCATCGGTCCACTGGTATGTCAGCGGTCCATCCACGTACTCGGGATATTCGGGTGGCACAGCTTGGGGGAGTGGCAAGGGCATGGGTGCATGGGGTGCCGGTGCTGGCCAAGCGAGGTCAGTCCTAGGCTTGCACCAACGAAGCTAGGATAGCACCTGACAGCAGTGCTGAGGCTGCCACATGTGTGCAACAGCATCGGCCGAGTAGTATTCCTCCACGTGCTCACCAGCCTCCAGGTGTGTCGGCAAGCTGTACGGCCGCGACGATTCTTAAACCGGGCGTGGGGACCTTCTTCTTCTTGTTCTTTTTGTTTTTCCTCTTCCGCTTCTCGTGCTCGTAGTGGCAGAATTCGCACTCGTACCCATTCAGACACCTGACGACCCAGATGGTTGTGCACTCCTAATCCTGGCAGAACAAAACCTGTGCAACCCGAGGCCTGTTTCGCGGATAGAAGCAGCATCTTTTGCAGCTCCCACTGTCGTGAAAAGCTGATCCCAGTGACCTCACGACAAAACAAAACAAGGTGATCGCACCAAGGCCCGCATTTTCACCATCATCATCATCATCATCCCCAGTGTGGCGTCATGAGGAGAATAGTCACAATCACAACAGCTATGTGTGCAACATACAGTTAATGAAGGGCGATGGGAAGCAGGCATCCTGTCCAATATCAAAAGTTGTTCTAGCAAGTGCTCTTGCATTTCGCAGGCAGCGCGGTGCCTAAGCGCCCAGGCTACCAAGGTTTCTCAACTGAACACCGAGTCAGGCATGTACACAAACAGACATACACTCGTTGCACGATTCTGAAGTGTAAGTGCGTATGTGTGTGTGTGTGTACGTACACCCTGATTCTAAGCAAGGGTTCTGGAAGACATCAGTGTTCAAGGTAAAGTCCTACACCACGCAACTAACACAATGGCTACAGCAGTGAGAGTTTCCTTAAGAAGCAAAGCGATGAAGCACAACACACTGCCTGACACAACAGCAATCTCACTAACCTCGCCCCGCACTCCTTTTGTTTCGGATTGCCGGTATAGTGACTGCTCGTCTCAGTCGGCTCCATGGCCTTCGGCCAAAGTGGGAACCGTCTCGAACTCAAGCTGCTGGCAGTCACAAACACGCCCGGGCTGAAAACTGGCAAACCGAAACTCGCAGCAACGCGGTATATCCCAGACAAAAAATCGAGCAGAGGGGCATGCTCTAGCTTCCTCTGGCTGGAAGTGGCTCAGAAGGGCCCAGTGTGTAGGAAGCTGGGAGTTGCCACAAAAGGTGATATTCCAAAATGCTGGCAGATTCACATGGAATCGCTCTGTCAGTGCACAAAGCAAACCATCGCCAGGGATGTTTCAGCCACGGCTCGATGAGCTTGCGGACGAGCTGCCCAGCCGCGACAAGCACGGTGCGTCGCAACACCCGCCTTTGGTATTGTGACCACGTGGTCCAGTGGCCCAAACACGGAAGCACCACAACCAGAGCCTCGTCTGGGCTGCACAGACAACTCATGACGAGGTCTAAGACCCTCAAGGCTGGATTCCGGTCGGGTGCGCAAAATCGCCCGAGAAGGTGCAGGCCTGAATCCTCGTCATCGTCCCCGTCGGTCGGCTTTCTGTCCGTGTACCAGGTCACTGATTTGAGCAATTTCCAATGCAGGGACATGATGGGATGCACAATCGCCTGCCAAATCAAACCCAACCACCTGGCTTGCGAATCGTTGAGATAGGCAGACGCTTTCCGATTTCGCTTCCGAGCAAGCTTTCGCCATCGCTTGGTTTCATTCAATGGAACACCCAGCTGTTTCTCTTCCTCATCAGAGCTGCTTGCATCAACCGGGTCAGCGACCGAACCCAAACGTGCTTTGAAGGCCCTGGGCACAGCATCATGAAACTGGAACAGAAGAACTGTCTGCCCAAAAGACGGATAAACCTTCGTCCACTTGTTCAACGCAGGTATGCTCATAGGCTCTACAAAGCAGTCTTCCAGAATGCCACATGCCTTGAGAACGGAGGCCTCCCGGTCGACACAACAGCCATCTGGACAAACGTGGTGCATCGCTGATCCTGCGAGCGAAGGAGCTTAGCAACGCTTCCGTCAGGTCACCGAGTGTCACAGAAGAAGAAGGGAATGGCTTCCGAGCTAGGGTTTCTCAACTTCTTCTTAACGATATCACAGGCCCAAGCTCAACTGGTGACTCGTGACTCGTGACTTGACTCGTGACGTGACTCGTGACTCTGAGACTCTGACAGACTCTGACAACTGGATCAATCACTGACTCACAGACACGCACAGACTTACAGACAGTCACAGACATCACAGAAACTGCTCGAAACACCGAATCTTGTCTTTTGCACGAAGCCGCGGGATCGTCGTCGAGTCGCAATCGCAGCAGTGAATCCAAATTAGAAATCTCTCTAAGCAGCTCGCTGTTACACGGTCCAAGACCTGAGACAATTGAAACTTCAAACAACCTCTGTGTTGCTGACGTATAACCGTACATAACTCTCTACAATCTCGCACTCACTCAACACAAGCGGCCTTTTGGAACGATGGGACGATGTGCATCCGAATGCCTACGCAGAAGCCTCCAGGCTCCAGGGACAGCAGTCGTGAAATGACTGCGCAACGTGTCTCGGTCGGACATGCTGCGACAGCTGAGCCACTTAGAGCAGGCACGGCGGCCACGGCTGTTATTGGAATGAGCTGTCATCTGCCACAACTTCGCAAAGTAAGCATTATAGCACGATTAAGGTCAAGTCCGATCTTACTTGCAATGGCTTAGTTTTTAAATTGTGAAAGTTTAAACCCTTAAACCAGTATCCTTGTCACAGCACGGCGCGAGCTTCGGAATCTTTTCTCACTACTCGCTCTGCTGTCAGGCTGTCTTGAGCCTACGTTTGACCTACGGAGATACGCAGTGAAACTGGCGGTAAATCGGGCATGAGGGAAAATTGAACATTCTGTTACGCCCTCATCGTATACACAGCTTTGTCGTGTAATACGATCTTGTGAAACTTTTCCTAATCCTTGTGCTACTTCTACCACCGTTTTCGCATGCTCCTGTGAGCCTTCATCTTCTCTTCTCGCACGCTTCTTTAAGCACTTGTGGGACATCTTTATCTTTTTCTTCCTTTGGTCTTCATCCTCAATCTTCTGATGTCCTATAGCAGATTTGCGAATTGCTTTCCACACACATTTGGCATGGACTCACTCCACTCTACGTGCACACTCACTTTTTCTGTACGTCGCTGTACGCGAAGTAGTCGTAGTCCATCCTTGCCCTTCGGCAATCTGGAAACTTTTGTCGGACTTTTGTCTTTAGTCCTTTCTGTAAACATTGGCTTTTGAATTCATCGTGGTGCTCGTAGTGACTTGACGTTGCCGTGGGACTTTCGTCCACGTGGCTTTTGTCGTTGCCGTGGGATTTTCTATCCTCGTGGCTTCTTGCATTGCCGTGGGATTTCCATCCTCGTGGCTTCTGCCTTTTGCTTTTGTGAAACGTTTGCCTTGGCTGATTTCAGCCTCACTTTCGCCTTGCTGGGCGTCTTTATGAACGCCCTCACTCTTCTTGCTTCTTTAAACCGCCGCCGCAGTTTACATCAGCTCTTGCTCATTCCGCTGGCGTCTCTCAGCTCTTTCTTGATCGAACGGAGATACGCTCTTACGCTTCATCTCCTTTTCAACCTTCTTTGTCTTCTCAGTCTTTTCAGATTTCTTCTCCTTGTCCTTGTCCTTGCTCTTGGACTTTTCCGCTGGCTTTTTCTTCTTTGGCTCTTTCTCTTCTGTCTTCTTCACGGTCTTTTCTTCAGCCTTTGCCTCTTCACTTTTCTTGGGCTTCTTGGGTTCTGCTCCCCAACTAACTGTCTTTTGGCTTGTATCCTATGCCCAATGTCTCTTGGAAATCTTTCAGCTCCTTGTCATACTTGTATGCATTATCTTCCAGATAGCTTCTTACTTGGTCTTTGTAATTGCAGATGTCTGGGGTATGGGTACCCCAGCCGGTATATCTGAATGACCGTCCGGTCATCTTCTGGAAGTACATATAACATACCTTGCAGAAAATCTTGTGAGCGGTGTTGCTGCTTTCGGGCCGCTCTCCGCTGTAATACATTCGCACAGCTTGTTCCATCAGAGGACACTCAGTCGCTCTGTGGTTGTCTGACTGCTTGCAGTAATAGCGGTTTTGGTATCTTGCCTTCTTGTAAGGTTCTTCCTTTTGATCCCCTTGGCCTTTGAGCCAATACGGATTCACTTGCCTCTTTGGTGGCGTTCCTTCTGGTTCGCTTGGCTTGTCCTTGGCATGATCAACTTTTGCCTTTGCTGCTTTGTCGATCATATCATCTGTTGCTTCTGCGAAACGCTCTTTCAGCTTGCGCTTCAACTCCAACTGCTTTTCCTTCGTGTTCGCTGCACTTCTCTCTTCTTCAGAGATTGCCAATCCTTCTTTGATAACGCTTGGTGCTTTCTTCGGCATCGCTTTGATCTTTGCTGCCGGTGTTGACGGGTTACTTCCTTCGCTTTTCTTCTTGATCATCGTCATGAGCTTTGCTAAGGCCTGTCTTTCCTTCTCCTTGTCTGGATCTGGCCTTTTGTACAAGTCTAGGTCTTTGAACTCTTCACTTAGGGCTGACAGTAGCTTGTCTGCCACTTGTACAACTCCACCTAGCTGCTCTAACGCACTTTTCACGTTGTTCGTCTTCTCGACGTCTCCTCTTGCTGCGACTGCATCTTCTTCAAGTTCTCGAACTTTCTTCATCCTTGCTTCGAGCTTTTCTCTCATCTCTTTCTTGAGTTCCTTCTCATACAGGTCCATCTCTTCTCTGGCTTGCTTGTAAGCCTCTTCTGCTTTACGCTCGTCCTCGGTGAGCGTCGACATGCTTTCTATATATTCTTGCACATCGTCTTCTTCTTTTGCTAAGAACTTTGAGGTCCTTATTCCGTACCCCAACGGAAGTCTTGAAACGGGGCGTCGCATTTGTTCTTGCCACGTCACGAATTCTCTTTCCAACGTAGATGATGGCATTGCTTGTCGAATGCTTTCGATATTCACTTGTCCCATGACTGTTGGGAATATCGACATTGTGTCCACGTTGAATCCGCTTCTTAGGGCTTCTTTTGCTTCTCGAGCTTCCTCATCAGAGGATTGAACTTGGCTTACGGCCTCCTTTTCTTCTTCTTTCTCTTTCGGCATTCCATCTTCTTTCTTCTCTTCCTCTTGCTTTTCCTCTTCTTCTTGCTTCTCCTTTTCTTTCTCTACTGGCTGCTCCTTCTCTTTTTCTTTCTCTGCTGCTTGATCCTTCTCGTCTTCTTTCTCTGCTGGTTGCTCCCTTTCTCGAGCCTCTTGTTCTTCTCTCTGTTCCACAACGGCGTCCGCTTCTGCCGTAACTTCTTCTCTTCTTTCCTTGGCTGCTGCCTTCCTCCTCCAGCTGCCGTACCTTCTCGTCCATAATTTCTCCTTGCTCTCTGATCCTTTCCTGGACGTCTTCTGGTATCCGAATGCTTCCTTGTCTCAACGCTGCGAAGTTAGCCTCTTGCGACTTCTTCAACCTTTCTGCTTCTTCTGCCAGTTCTTCTGCAGTTTTCTTGAACGTACTCAGATCTTCTTCTTCCTTCTTGTCTTCTGGCGATTCTTCTTCATCATCTTCCTTCTCTGACTCACTGTTGTTAGACCCATCGGACTCCGGGTCCGACGCTGCTTCACTTTCCTCCTTTTCCTTGGTCTTGACTTCATACTTCAGATTGATCTCTTGTACCTCCTTCCAGAGGATATCAGCACTTGGTCTCTCTGACCGTTCTCTCTTGAGCACTTTCTCGAGGTAAGTGGTAGCCTCGATGCTTTTGCTGGCTTCTCTGATCATATACTTGACTGCTTCGTCATCTGCCATTGCTCTTGTCCTATCTTCTTCCTTTTCTTCTTCCTTCAGGACTTCTTTCTTGAGCAAAACGGCTGCGCTTGCAACTTTATGCATAATCGCTGACATGAACATGCACAACAGTATGCAAACTACACTTGCTCTTCCCAGTCCTTGTTCTCCTTCTTCACCGAATCTTCTTGCTTCAGCTAATGATATCAGCACTGCGGTCGTAACCGTCTGGATAATCCTTGTAATCATCCTTTCATCGAATCTTGGAACACTTCTTGTTCTTGTTCTTCTCACTTCAGCTTCTTGAACTTCTTGCTCACTTGGTGTCAGGAATTCACCTGTGTCTCCTAGGCTTAGCATATACTTTCGTATCTTCTCCCGTGTCAGGGATTTGGTCCCTAGGTCTGAGGATTGTCCTTACCTGCTATCGCCTTGATGATAAGCTTCGGGATTCTTTGGATCCATAAAAGGTCCACTTGTAAATGGCGTGCTCTTCCTAAGCCTTTTCTTGAGATCAACTGTCTTGAGCTTGACGAATCACTGTATAACATCAGTCTTGGCTCAACTCCTAGGATTCTTGTCAGCAATCCTTTCAGGAATACACCTTCGCTTAAGATTGATGTCGCTGCGATTGTCTCAGCTTCGCAAGATGACAATGCTACGCTTTTCTGCCTCTTGCTTTGGAAATGAATCAGGTTTCCATTCACCATGATCACTCCGCATGAAACGCTTTGTCTTGACTCTCGGTCCGCTGCCCAGTCGCTGTCGCTTATCACTTCTATGAGTGCTGGCACTTTGTAGTTGTCCCTTTCGTTTCCTTTTTCGCTTCTGTTCTTCACTTCGAGGAAACTTTTTCCAGGGTAACTTCCTTGATGTACCAGTGCGAGTTCTGGCGATCCTTTGAGATACTTTCCAACGTACCTTAACAGTTCCATGTCTGCTTCAACGGGCGATGCGAGCTTTGTTGACAGTTTCTTCAAGACGTACATAATGTCTGGCCTCTCGGGCGCGAGATACAGTAAGATTCCTACTCCTTTTCTGAACGTGTGGTGATCTTCTGTACTCAGCGGTTCCATTCCACCTTCTTTTGTTTGAAACGATCTTCCATTGTCCGCTGGACACGGTAGCTTCTTTGGATATGCTCCTTCCAGTTTGAGCACTTCTACCAGTCCTTCGATGTACTTTGAGTTC